CTATGTAAGTTAAAACTATCAGTATCGGCATTGGCATTAGCAATACTGGGCTTGCATTTAATTGGTAATACATTAATAGATTGATACCAAAATTTGCAGTATGGCACAGCGCAAAAATATGGCGCCATCTGGATTACAAAAGACCAGCTTAAACCAGTTTAAACAGGTAGTTGAAGCCGTTGGGAGGTCATATGCCTCTGAGGCCGAGGGAGAATAATATAATAATGAAACACTGTACAGCAAAAACTCTCGGCTGAAAAATAATCAAATCACAGACAGCAGCTTGAATTATCATAGTAGTAGTGGTGTGTAGGCTTTGACTGACATGATGATTACTCAAGAGGAAACAGGGTGTGTTGACGTGGGTGGCAGCCATGAAAACATTTCACTCACCCACACAACTATGTGGCCATCCTCACGTTCACGTACCCTTACCTTTCACCTCATTTGTAACAACAGCTTTTGGTAGCACAGACTCAGCGGTACACAACACCACACGCAACACTTCTTTTTTCTTTTTTCTTTTGTTCCTTTCCACCGTTTCTACGAAGACAATATCAACAACAAACCCAAAGGAACACAGTGATGACATCTGTGGTGAGGCAGGTCAGCCAGCTTTGTTTACATGTCGACCATGTGTCGACGTCAAAGTCATCGCTCCTTGCTGCGTTCAGCAAGAGGAAGGATGTGGAGCTTATGAGCGGGGAAGCACCGGCTCGAACCTCTTATTTACGCTATGACCTACATGCATGTTTTTACCCTATGATAGTTGATTAGTATATGTCACATCAGTGAGAGTGTCGGTTGGTCCCAGCAACAGCAACCGGGGGGGGGCAGGAACAGGAACAGGAACTGCTCACGGCTGAATGTCTCAACAGAAACAACCAAAGGCATCAGCCTCTGTCAGAGAAGCAGCAAAAACAGAGCTTTTCCATTTAACTTAAAAACAACATTGCTGCTTGGTTTGCAGAAAAATTACCCCCTGCGACTAACACATAAAAACACAATTTGACATGTTTGCGTGTAAGCTGTGCAGCTGCTTAAGGGGGAGCAGCAGGGGTGTAATCCAAGGGTTTTTCCAACCTCAGCGTCAGGGTGACTTCAAGAGGTCACAAGTTAACCTCGAGGACTCATCAGATGATGAGATGAGATGCAAAGTTCTGCTATATCCAGTCTTTTTTCTCACGTCTTTGCTGCCTTAAAACATTACATCCTTGTATTTGTTGCATACCTGTTTGATCTTCTCATGTGGTTTTTGTTTAAATAGCTACTAGGGGAACTAGAGGGGAAGTATCTCTGGGGTGGAAGTGGTAACTGTTTTGTGATAAAAGGCCCCAGTTACACAAAGCTTACAGTCCGAAGTCATAAATCCTTGTCCTTTTCCCCCCTTGAAGCAGGGATATCGAACTCATTTTACATCTAAAGAAGTTTGACTTTGTGCATTAAACTCCTGAGATAATCTAATATAAGTTAAAGAAGAGCAATTTCAACAGTGCGTCTCAGATTTTCTACATGATAAAGAGACGCTGCTGTAATAAATGAAAAAAATCAATCGGCAAGAGTCTTATGTCCTTTTTCACATTTTCACATTTGCCCCATGGGCCGATTAGGGCGTTTGCAGGGCTGATTTTGGCCCCCGGGTCTTAGGTTTGACACCCCTGCCCTAAAGGATATGTTAAATACGAAGCACCAGCAGCTCATTACTAATTACCTATTTAAAAAAAAAGTTTAGACTTTGTGTAAAATGGAGATAAAAACAGAAATCAAACCATTTTAAGGGTGTGTTTAGGCAAAGCAATAAGAAGACAACATGTGAAACCCTGAAATGGAAAACATTTGCCTTTCGATTAGAAATTAGCCTCTCTTTTTTTAATGCTCTCTTTGAATTTGATGCCAACAACAGGTTTCAAAATAGCTGGGACAGACACATGTTTACCACAGTGTTGCATCACCTCTTATTTTAACAGCCTGTAGGCGTTGAAGAATGAAAGAGATCAGCTGCTGTAGTTCTGAAAGAAATATATCAATGAAGAATGGAAAGACGTTTCAGCTACTCAGCAGTTTGTGGGGTCTTTTTGTTTTATTTCAAATGTGCCCTATGTTTACAGTTGGTGACATTTCTCGACTCTTACTACTACTTTTACTTTTATGGCGCAAGTTTGGGTGCTGAGATAAGATAGCATGCAGGCTTGGTGGCAAATATTTCAACATTTGGTAGTTTGTCTCACCACTTCATGTTAAAAATACTCCTTAAGCATCTTCAGCAGAGGATATTTAGACGTTTCTCATGTTGTTTGGCATACAGTGTCCATGTACGCCAAGCAAATTGCAGAGAGCAACAGCTTTGTAAACTGTAACTTGGGTGATTCTGTTTGTTATTCTGTACCCTCTTTCTTAGTTTAGCACTAATCCAAGTCTTCATTAGGGTGAGGATTAGACCAAAGTCATAGCAGGATGTATAGGAGTGATCCATTAGATGACTCTGATTTGTCTGAGTGACAGATAAATCCTTATTACTAGCAGAGTGGTACTTCTCTCACTGGCACTTTTTGTATTTTGGTTTTGCTTCCAAGCGCGCAGAAGAGGCAGTCATCTAAATGTGCATGTAGGAGGACACCGTCAAGAAAGGTCAAAGGTGTCAGAAAGGAATAAGGAAAAGAATATGTGAACAGGTTTTGCCTGGAACGCATCTCAGAAACCAGTGTTAGACTGATCAGTACGCTTCATACATTCATGACCCAAAGAAGGCTGTAATGTTTCTGGATGTTGTTTATATATGCTTTGTTTTGAATTTTTGAATGGACAGCGTTCAGTAACACTTGTTGTTGAGAGTCTTCCTGAGCCTTTAGGGCAGTGATTTCCAGCAGACTTTTTCCTGGCTTTACTACAGTCACACTGAAGGGCCTGAGAATCATGTTCAGACAATATTGATTTAGATTTGGCATCACCGCTGGCACTGTATCAGTGGAAAAGAGATTTGTTGCCAGTAAACTGAGGTATGAGTTGTTCAACCAGATTTTGTTTTTTGTTTTTAATCATTTAATATCAAAAGGAGCCGGTTGAGGTGGCTCAGCCATCTGAAAAGGATGCTGTCTAGACGCCTCCCAGGTGAGGTTTCACAGGTGTGTCCAACCAGGAGGAGGACCCGCAGCAGACCCAAGACATGCAGAAGAGGTTACATCAGTGTTTTCCCTTGAAGAGCTGGAGGAGGTGGCCAGAAAGATAAATAAAACGAGCATAAATTCTTCAAACTAATCACTGTGTTTAAATGATGTGCAATTTTTTTTTTGATTCAGTTCAATTCAATTCAATTTTATTTCTATAACGCCAAATCACAACAACAGGCAATCTATATTGTAAGGTAAAGACCCTACAATAACACAAAGAAAACAGAAAACCTCACCAATCATATGACCCCTATGAACAACCCCTTAATTGGAAGTAAAAGCTCCCCTTGAACAGGAAGAAACCTTTAGCAGAACCAGGCTCGGGGAGGAGGTGAGCGGATGAAGAATTTTCTTCTGGGTTTTATGTTTCTAATATATTTCCAGCCTTTTTAAAACAAAAACCAAAAAAAACCAACTGCATTGCAGTTTAGAAAGACTAAAGAAAGACGGAGCCGACGTGTCTGGCTCTGCTGACTGGTAACGAAAATCTTTTGCCTCTAAAGGTTACTAATTAACAAAAATCCAACTCTTCATAAAGCTGTCAATATTTTCAGTCTAACTCCTGGCACAGTATAGTTTTTACAGTTAGAAGAGATATGTTTATCAGTGAGCCTTAGAGGTGCTGGAAGGTTGATTTTATTACCTTTGGACAGAGATAAACTGTTTCCAGTCTTCTGTGGTTCAGCCAACCCCTCTAGCTTTCTGTTTGCTGGTAGCTGCCTTTCACAAGAAAGTAAATGAACATATTTTCTATTATTGGTAGAGTGTTTCTCAAACAGTGGAGTGCAGACCACCAGGGGAAACATATACAATAAAGCTAAAGTGAGGTAAAGGATATTAAACAAGCAAAAGTTAACTCACAATTTAAATAAAACTTAATATGTAAAGTGTGAAAATTGGTCAAGTGTGAACATTTTTTGGCTCCTGAAGAGGGGCGTACCAGAAAAAAAAAACAAAAAAACTTGAGAGCTTCTGTTTTAAATGCAAAAGGGTTAAACTCAAGACCCACAAGCCAAATCTGGCCCTTTGCAAATTTTAATCTGGCCCGCTTATAGCTGTGGTGTGCACACCAAATTAAACAAAGAGCCGCACCTTCATAGCACCTGACAGCTAACAAGGTAACACACAGTCCAACCAAAAGGCAGCTGAGGTATGAGACTGAGTAGGTCATGTGAAAAGAGGCCAGTTTAGGCATTAGCCATGAGGCAGTTTCTGTTTTAAGAGAAAATTGTGTCATTAAGGAACCAGTTGAAAGAAGAAGAATTTTGATGTTTAAATGAAAAAGAAAAAAGGCATTTACAGCAAAGAAAAATATTCTTCCAGCTAAATCTCAGAGTGGGAAGTTCTATTCCTACATCCAGCTGGTTCCATGCCTAAACTGTGTTTCGCAGATGGAAAGTCGAGACGTTCTGGTGAACGACTGTGCTATCATGTTGAGTCCTGTAAAACGGGCTCGGTGAGACTTGCGGGCATATGAACGGGAACAGAATGAAAGATCCGCTACTTTGCTTTGACATGAGGGTGTATTTTTAAGTGACCCATAGGGCAGGTAGCTGTCTGTCAGGTTTGTGAAACAGGTTGCTGTGGGCTGGTTGTGTGGTAGCCTTCTTATAGTTTAAACACACAACTTTATAAAGTCTAAAAGACTTTTATGTGGGCTGATTGAGGCTTTTATGTGGTCCAAAGTGTACATGAGAAGGCTATATGAAGCATAAATTATCAGTCATTAAACTCTATATGTATGGCCCTTGCTATGCTTTTCATTTCCTGGTGTGGCCTCTTCAGAGAAACTGAATTTGACACCTGTGCTTTAACTGTGATTTTTCTTTTTAAAAAAAAAACCAAAAAACTTGTTTTTAAAGCCCGAAAAGGGATCGTGACTATTTGCATCTTAAATGTTGTGGAAATTTGAGCCAAGTTGCCTTTCAAGACAAGTTAACACTGAAAGCTTTGTCTTATTCACTCTCCTGGGTTTTTGGAGTTTTGAAATAATAAGGGCATGAATAGACATGATACACCTGATGACAGTGTACTCACACGTTGTGGTATTGAGCTCCCATTGTACAGCGCTGCCGAGTGTGGTGACTCAGACTTCTGCAGAGTCACTCTTGGAAAGATCTGACTCTCCTCTTATTCAGGAATTTCCTGATCCCTGCTCGGCTCCCTGTGAAAATGAACTGCAGGCTACAAGAGAGACTTCCAGTCAGCCATTGCCCCACCCACCCTCACAGCTGGCCAGCTATTGGGAAGTTCCAGGTTAATAACTAAACTGAGGACATATGCTGAAAGAGTTAGCCGGGCAGGGCTGATATCTTTTTTTGGTCAGCTGTGAATGTGGAGTCAGCATTGTGAAAATTAGGCTGAGTAAGGAAGCAGAGATAACACAGTGAACCTCTGACATTTATTTAAGCCCGTCTGTCTTCCTCCATTTTTTTCTTTAAGTTTCTCACTAAAGTAAAAACATCAGAAAATGTAGGCCGAGATGACATATATAGATAGGAAACACAATCAAAGTGACATTTAACACATGTCTAATATTAAAATAACAATTCATTTTCACCACAAACAGTGCATGAGTCACAGCAGCGCAGTCAGATTAGAAAGATTGTAGTTTCAGTTGAAACATTTGTGGTTTTAGGACTTCCGGTCACACCTTGATTGTAGTTTTCCTAGTGGTGCGTGTTCTTTGCCTTGACGTCAGCAGAGCGGTGGTTGGGAGTGCTATTACTCACTCACTGTTTAAAATACATTCTTGTACACCAAGTACAGCACAGTGCTTGTTTCTTAATTTCCCAAACAGGAAGTTCTAGCCAAGACTGTTGCCAAATCATCTGCGCTACACCCCTGTGGTGAAGTTTACTCAAGAAACGCATGCATCTCTGGACATGTTTAACCTAACTTTAAAGTTTGATGGCTATTGTTGTTAAAGATTTTACACTAGCAGGAGCAAAATCTCGTTATTTATCAACCGCAAAGTTTGCTAATCACAAACTGTACAGCATTGTGGTTTTATCTGTGGGGATCTCTCAGATTAAATAATGAAAATTAAACTTTAAAGATTGGTTTTAATGAAAATGTCCCCTGTTTGTAAAAGATTGGGAAAAAGTTTGAAGACAAAAAGAAAATTAATGTGACGTCCTTCCTCACAGTCACTGTGAATTCTGAAGGCAGTGTCTGCAAACTGGTTTACTCCAGGCTCTCCACCGCTGTAAATACAAACATAATTGATGAGCAAACACCGATATCATACAGACAACAGGAAAGAGTGGGCCGTAACAAACACGTCTACGCTTCACATCGAAAACAGGTGAGGATCACAGTCCCACAGAGCCACCTGCTGGTGAAGACAAGCAGAGGCTGGTCAGTACTGCACGGCTCATGGCATAAAAACTCAGATCTGAGAAAAGTTAAATATTAAATAAAACCACGCAAGATTTCCCCTTGAAAGTACACAACCTTTTTGCTTTTTATTTTGACATATAATGTCTTAAGTACAGGGGATAGCCACATGAAAAACATATTTAAGCTCTTAAAACCAGAACCAAATCAATTGTACACTCCCTCCCAAGTGTCACGCTCTAAAGCCAGAACCATTTTTCTACAAGCATATTTAAGTAGAAACATCAGGGGGTGTATCATAACTGGAAAAGCAAAACTGCCCCATTTTATGCATTGTCTGTTATCTGATTCTTCCTTCCACTAAATTTTATGACTGCAGGATACGTGGCTGCTCAAAATAAGTTCGCATAAAGTTTGCATAACAACTACTGAGGAGCAAAAATTTAATAGTTTTATTTTTACAGTAAAACTGCACAGTTTGTTACTTTATTATATGAATATTTTTGAATTTCTGACATAAATAAATTGAACCGTATAAGAAACAAACAGAACCAGTAAAAGAAGTAAAATATTACCACAAAATACCCCCACTTTAAGTCAGTAAAATCTTTTCTTTTCTGGAGGATTAAATTACGTCTGAAAAACACGAAGGGCTCTTTGAGAGTTAATAAAGCTATGAAATTTTTCTTAGTCTCCTCTGTTATGCAGAACCTTATAAATAGGGTCATCGTATGAAAAATTAGCGAGTCCCTCCCAACTAACCCCGCCAAAATCTTTTTTTTTCTTTTAAATTGTGCAATAGCTGTAATTTATCTAATGAATCCATGCAAAGTTTTACCTTCATTTTCACTCAGAGCTGACACACACTGGGCAGTTTCTCGTTTTCAGAACATTCTCTGTAAACCCAAAAGATGGTTATGTGGGGGAAATCCCAGCAGAGCCGCAGGTTCTGAAATACTCTGAGCAGCGTATGGCACCAGTCACTTAAATCAGCTCTCTTCTCCACTTTCATGCTCAGTCTGAATTTCAGCAAGTGGCCTTGGCCATACCCATTTGCCTAAACCCGTTGAGTTGCTGTTAACGAGCAGTTGAACAGGTACAGCTAATGAAGTGGTCGGTGAGTGCATATTTTCATTTTTTCCAGTGATTCTGAAATCATCCCCATCCCCAACAGCAATCCAACAAGCAGGAAACCTCAGAGGACTCATAGTTCTCAGCTCACAGCGATTATTTGTCCAAAATATAAATACAATGAGACATTTCAGGACTGAAAACAAGATTAGGTGTGAATCAGGACAAATCAACAGCAACTGTGCTTTTTTTTCTCTTTTATTTAAAAAGGAAAATAACAAATGTAAATAAAAAAATACATGTTTTTGAGCTCAGCATAAGAATAGAAAAAACGGGAAAACCTGGTGCAACGGCTGCACAGGTGCTGAGATTTAATCCCTCGCTAAAGCAGAAAAAAAAAAAACCCAGTTCAGCACACTGAAACCTGATTTAAAATATATGTACAGTATAAAAAGAAATGAGTACACCACTCTTTAATATCACCTAAATGTCAGCTCATGTGAAAGAAACAAAACCAGCTATAGTTAAAGCACCGCAAATGAAAAACTCAGTGCAACGGTAACCAATTAAAATGTGACTGAGCAGCAAATAGAGAACTGTCAGGTTAAAGGTCGTTTAATGTTCAATCGGATAAACATCCACTGGAATCTTCCTTGCTCGTCACGGTCACCTTACCCTTTCTAGACTCGGCCTAACTTTCACTTCACGAGCAGCGACATAAGAGAACAGACCACCTGTTGATTTCTCTCCAAGTGATCATTTCACACAGAAATGTAGCAGAAATCACAACACAGCTAATGTCCTTTCCCCCACATACACACGAGCGCCGCACCAGAGCCCAAAAACCAAGCATTCGGATGCGACTGTGTCGGGTATGTGTCAAAGGTGTGCTTACTTCTTTTGCACAGAGTTTCTACTGTGAAGCGTCTTTTGTTTTGTAACGTAACAACTCTAACGGCATTCAAACTAATAGTAAAGTAATAATAACAAATTTAACATTAAAAAAAGTTCACAGGGGTGTACTCACTTCTGTTGTATGCTGTATCTAATACAGAATTATACATTCTAAAGAAAGGTACAGCTATCGAGTCCCAAAGGTAAACGAACGCTAGCAGCTTAACTAATCTCTTCTTAGGATAAACCTTTTGATTCACAAATGCAGCATGCTAAAAGAAATAATAATCATATAAAACAATATCGCCAGCTCAGGGCCATGACAAGATACAATGGATCATCACTACAGTGTATTATTTTCATCCCTGTGCTGGTGTTTGATTTTTGGTTTGTTCAAAGTCCCTGGTTCCCCGTTCAAACTCGAGAGTTAGTAAAGGGCGACACATTGCTGAGTATTTGTATTGCTGGAGAAAAGAGATGGACGTTGGCTACTTTGCATCTCCGGTCTTTAAGCTGGCACTCCACCAACTGAACACACATTCACTTATTTTACAATGTGAATCAACTCTGTTTCGGTTATGTTACGCATTTTATCCACTGTGAGCGATACTAGAACTAAAGCCCAATGTTTATAACCTTCTAAAAGTTCTCAAGCTGTTGAAATCACTCAGACGTTACAAATACAGAGTGAGACACGTCACTCTACCTTGTTTTTTTTTTTGTTGTTGTTGTTTTTTCCCCTCCTCCTGTGTCACTTTTGGGCTACCACGGAGAGAGAAAAAAAAAGAATCACATACCAGGAGAGAACCCGGTCTACATCTCACATTTGATGTCCTGTAAATGTTATATTAATATTTTTCACCGGGTAGAATTTAAAAACTACCACTCACACAAATGTACATATACACACAAACACATATATTGTATGTACTCAACCTGCAGGCTATTAGTGGAGTCACATAACAATTCAAGGCCCACCCCAACATGCTCTGGATTTCATTTTACTCTTGGGATCCATGTTGACCAACAGCAAAGGAACAAACAAACAAAACAAATAAGGTTTCTCCCACACTGGCATATTTTCAGACAGGCTGGTCATAAATCTGGTTCTACAATTTCTGATCTGTTTGTTTAACCAAAAGAAGAAAGAAAAGAAAGCAAAATCCTAACGGGCTCATGATTTACTAATAACATGGAAGAACACATTCACGTGTCGTTTGGTAAATAAGAGAAGAGACTCATGACAAAAAATGGGCTGATAGGTCATTCATCCTGATTCACAGACCAGCAGAGCCCTCCGAGTCTGCGTTTAAGCCAGCACACATTATTTGGGATGTGACACCTGAAAAACTGAGGCCCTGAGCATCCAAGATGACACACAGAAAGAAAGTTTGGGTCGGTCATAAGGTCGGCAGCCAGCCAACCACTCGCACGGCATTTATAAAATTAAAACCAGTGGAAGTGAATCTGCTGAAGACCAAACAATCCACCCCCTAGCAGAGTCAAAGCGGGCTGATTGGTCAGCCTTGTCCACTTTGCAACGTCAGTGGAGAGACGGGGAAGAAGGGCATCAGTGGAAATAGGCTCGATAGCAGGCGAAAGCACTGAGAGCCAGCGCTGTGCACAGGCACACTTTGGTTAGTAGTGGGGACCAAGTCCCCGGCATGGGAGAGTTTTCCTTTGGCTGCTGCTCAGATTTGTTCGGAAAGGAGGTATCATCGTGGATCTCCAAATGGCCGTCGGACTGAGCAACACCGTCACGAGCGTGCTGGAGGTCAGCAGCAGGCTGGGAGTCAGCAGCTGGCATCCTTTTTCGAACTTTTTCTGAGGAGCTGAATGAGAAACAACGAAGGTTCAGATGAGAAAATAATTCGTTTTTTTTTTTTACTTCTTTTTTTCCACAGAAACATGGACTTCCTTGCTAGCTGAAATTGGAAGATTAGTTTTTGAGAGAAAAGAACAAACACAAAAACAACAAACAAACAAAAACACAACAACGTACTAACTTTACCTTTTTTTGACCTCATAAAGTCCAATCAGTTACGTGGGGCATAAGGATTTCATTCTTTTCAAATATGAATGAAATTTCGAGTAATGAGGTCAGCATATGTACAAAGAATCACTGTGAGCAAAACATCCTTTTGATTAGTGGTACTTATTCTAAATTCATGTATTTAAAATGTTTACGAAACCTTTTCAAAATTACAAATTCACAACAGAATGTGAAGAAATAATCACTGTGACCTTGTATTCACAAAGTATTGTATTGAAAAGATATCATTTTTAACTTTGCGTGAAAAAGGGCCACGCTGTACCTTTCTGTAATACCACATGTGCCACAAGATGGTGCACTGAGCCTGGGTAAAATTTATTTAACCAAGATATCAAGTATCAAGACTAATCTTGATTCATGATACAGAGTTTTTGCACAGTTGGAAATGCAGTGTGAAGGATTTTGGGTATGCAACCTACACAGATGTGCTTGTGTAAAAACAACAACAACCAAAAAAAAAAAAGTAGGTGTACAGGGATGATGGTGTGCATAGGTCGCATGCTTATTGATTGATAAGTAGGCCTGAACAGGAAGAGTTAACATCATAGAGCGAGAAGGGCCAAATAAAACAAGTGATAAAAGGGTGGCATGAAAAGCACAAACGGAGGCTGCACTGGACAATTTTCATTGGTTTTAAAACCCTTTGTTAGAGAGTAGTCCACAGAGCAGTTGTTTGTGACACTGCCCCCTGCTGACAGTAAACAGCTACAGCTAGACAACAATCTGCAAGGTTGTACGTAGGCTGTAGGCCCTGTAAGCATCAGCACACACCTGTGGCATCTTAACACACCCACTGGTGAAATGCTTCCCTCGGATGGAGCAAGTCGATCACGAATCAACAGAGAGCTTTCTGTAGTGTCTGCTAAATACTTAAAAGCCGTGTATTTAATTTTAGGAATTCAACACCTCATATTTCAAACTGCACTCTATTTAATTATGTTTCCTGGCCTTTCTGCTCCACGGAGCTATGAGCTTTAGAATCAACACTGACACACGATCCTGTTTTCCTAACAATATTAGATAAACTCAAACAAAACGTGATCTGGATGATTACCCCAGACTGTAGGTCTCTGTTGCTCGGATGATCTCTTCAGGGAAAAAGGACGGCTCTGCTTTGCCATTCTGAGGGTCTCTGGGAGGAGGAAGAGGAGGAGGAGGGGTGAACTCGGGAGGATCATCTTCCTCGTTGGACTGCGCTCTCCATGACTCCTTGAAGAGGGGAAAAAAAATTAAAATAGCTAAAAGCTAAAATAATAGATTTCAAATCGATAGATATTGCAGCATGTTTTGTTTTTGTTTATTTTTTAGAGGGGACCTTTCATCAACAGAGACTCCAGTTTACCTTCATTATATTGCGCATGTTCCTTTATATTTATTATATTATATCAGTCTAATCACAGTATGCTTCTTAATTATTATTATTATTATTATGTTTCTTATTACCAGTTAAATGAGAACATTAAACTCAGTGCATTTATTTTTATGGTTTCTCATAACTGACAAAACAAAACCTGTTTATAAAAAACAGACACAGGCTTTGAACTCCAAGTCAAATGAACCACGCACGCACGCACACATGACCAAGTAGTGATTTCTAACATTCACTCTTAGGATGTTTATGTGCTTTATGTCAAAGGGTTGATTCTGTTCATCTGGACGTCTTATTTAAATGGCCTCCTTGACGCCGCGCTCCTCCCAGACCAGGATGTGTACATCCTGATCATTGAAAGAGTGTCCACTGGCCTGTAGGTGGAAATGGACTGCAGAGTCCTGGCCTGACGAGGTAGCTCTTCTGTGTTGTGCCATCCACTTTGCCAGAGGTTAGTTGGATTCCCCTATGTATAAATCATGGCAATCCTCCTGGCACTTAACAGCATACACTACATTACTCTGTTTGTGCCGGGGGACCCGATCGTTGGGCTGGGCCAATTTTTGGTGCAGTGTGTTTTGGAGTTTAAGCCATGGAGACGCAGTGTTTAGAAAAAAATGCGTCTCAACTGTTCCGATACTCCTGACACATAAGGGTTTTTGCTTAGGCAGCAGTTGTCCTTCTCTCCTGGATCAGCTGGAGCTTTCTTTAGGCGCCTTTGCACCTTTGACAAATGTCCAGCTGGGATAACCACATTTACTCAGAGCCTTCCTGAAGTGATGTTCTTCTGCTTTTCTGGCCGCTCTGTCTGTGGGGATGGTGTTTGCTCTGTGTTGTAGCGATTGACAGAATCAACCTTTTGGGATTTACTTACCTGGATGATTGAGCATGCATCAAGACATTTGCTTTATGATGTTAAAGATGACCTATAATCCATTTTCTTACTCTATCCACTTTGTTAGAAACACCTTGCTAGGAAGGACCTCTTGTGCCTTCAGAAATGCCTTGATTCTTCATGGCATAGATTTGACAACTTTCTGGAATTATTTCTCCATACGGAGATGACAGCAACCACAGATGATTGTGTGGAAAAATCCCAGTGGATCAAAAGTTTCTGAAATATTTAGACGAACAACATTCAAAGTAATTTAAAACCACCTTTCTGCACATTCTGATTCTCAGCTTAAACCTCAGCAGGTCCCCTCGGCCATGTCTACATGCCTAAATGCATCAAATTGCTGCCATTTGATCGGCTGATTAGATATTTTTGTTAAGAAGCGGGTGAACAGATGTACCTAAAGATGTGGTCAGTGAGCGTACACACTGGTACAATGAGGGGAAATACTTGTATGGTCATCTCAGTGGGAATCCGGTCTTTAAGTGATGACGTGATGAATCCTGCTTCCAGCCCCAAACTACTCTGCGTTTAATAAGGCTTATAAGGTGTTTTTTACATATTCTAATGCTTTGTATCTTGTTTTATTTAATCTCAACAAGCCCCTAAAAACAGTCAGTGATCGTATTGTGTGATGGATTATCTCAGTTGTTCTCCCGACTGAAGTTCAGTCCGTTTACAGCATCCTGCCATGTGATTGCATTTGTCCCGGACCTTCGGGAACCCTCACGTTAACTTTTGAGTGGAAAAAAGTTAGCGTTCATCCTCCAGCTTCACTGTTTATATTATGCTAACATAGCTGTGTCGCTAGTGATCACATAGCACATCAAACCATCAAGCCAAACTTCAGTAACCCTACAAACGTCACTGCTGTTTACTTTCCTGTCTTCAATAATGTTGGAAGTGATAGCAGAGCTGTACGTCTTAATTTGTTTCATAAATCTCTCAGTCAGAACATGGTATATTATATTTAGATGCAAACTAGCGAGCTAACTTCCTGATAACTTAGAACGCCATTAATTTTCATAAATTCAGTTTTCATGGATGCCTGGAAGTTAAACTTAATCGTTACACCTCGTAGAGCAACAACGCTGATCATTTTATTAAAGATGAACGGATTTAGACAGTTTTTAACTCTCAGTGATGCCGCAGTGATCGCTGGACTTAGGGACCTGCAGCAGAGTTTGGGCTCTGGCACGGCTAATGACGTCAGACTTAAAGACTGGATAGCTCCACCGCGATACGCTTTACCAGTGACAGCTAATCAAATGAAAGATGGATTAAGGGGAGCAAGAAACTAAAACAGTTTGTTTCAGAGAGCAGATAAACTGAAGCTTTGGACTAAGGTCCAGTATAACATTAAAAAACAACAACAACAACAATAAAACAATAACTTAAATTCTGAAGCAGGTAAAGTTACTCTCATAGCCCTCCAAACATAAAAATATAAAAGGTGGATATTGGTATAGCATTTAATG